CTTCTGGAAGGATTGGACGCGGGCGGAGCATTCAGCGTGGTGCAGCACCTCGAGAAAGCGTGCTAGCTACCTCACCACAGGAGAGTCCCAGCTGAAGGAGGCCTTGCACCTGCTATCCATTTGCATTCACAGCGATCTCAACCAGCCATCGTCATCGAGCGAGAGAGAAATTGTCGCGCGCCTCAAACGCAAGTGTGAGTAATTCGCAGCATGAGCGCGTACATGCGATCGGACTGATCAGAGTGAATGCTGTGCACGCTATTCTTTGCGCTCAGTGACCAGCTATGCGGTGGATGGTGGCCATGGCAGCGGCGTCAAGCTGCAAAACCTCGTTCAAGAATTGCGCGCCTTGCCGAATCAGGGAAAGCATGCCGCGCTGCTAGAATTGCTCGATCGTTTGGCATTCTCAAATCTTCCAAGCAGTAGCGCGAGTGCAGCCAGCGAGGGTCGCTCCGACACCCGCTCCGAAGCTTCTCGTCGGCCCACCGACGGACCATCTTCTGGAGCTGCAGGTGCGTCGCGCCCTCCAGTTGCAGCACGACCACTCTCGGGCGCGACTCGCAACGTGTCTTCTGCTACGACGGCCTCATCTGCAAGCCGCGCTACACTCTCCAGCAGGCCTGCGTCAAGCGGGCCGGGCACAGCAGGACCCTCCAGCAACAGGCCCAGCTCGACCATCACTGGCAGTCGCGAGGCCACACCTCAAGCAAGACCAAGACCAGACGTCCGGTCGTCAGAGCGCTACAATGCTGTCGCAGCAAAGGCACCAGCAGCTCGAGAACAAGGGCCGGCTACATTGCCAGCACATGAATCTCGCTCTGCGGCCGTTCCGAACGCCCCGCAACAACCCCCCGCCACTCACACGCCATGCTCTCGGGCAGAACTCGTGCGGCGGTTCCACGCCAAGTTCGGAAAAGAAGAAGTCCCCGAGACAGACCTAATCAAGGATGTCGTGTACTTGCTGCAAGGCATAAACGGAACGTATGTTGGCTTCGAAGAGGTCGTCTCACCCGCCAGCAACGAGATTGGAGCGGAAAGGCAAGCGGAAAAGGAATTGAGAATGAGATGGGCTGACGACAAGGTGAGTGTATGAGTAGCCTTGGTCTTGGTGGGTGCCGCGGAAGGCTGACAGCGTTCCGTTGAATCTAGGGTCGCATCTCGCCACAGACAAAGCAGTTGGTTCACCGCATCGCAGAAGTGGGCAGGCTCTACCGACGTATGGCGGAATTTGTAAAAGACCACAACGAGGCAGATGTGTCGGGACTGATCGAGCAAGTAAGCACAGACTTTCAGAAGCAGCTGTGCTGCATCATTGCTGACTCGTCTGGCGATTTGCAACGCACTCCCATAGAGTCTCTGTCACTTCATCAACGAAGAAATGACCGAGTATCTTCGACTCCTTGCGATTCTCGAGGCGCACATGCACCGCAGCCTTCAGTCGAGTGCCCTTGTGAACATGGACAGAGGGCGTTCACCAAACGACGTCGATGCTTTGGAGGAGAGTTCCAAGGGTACCACGACGCTGACGCTGCGCAGAGTTTGGCTCTGGACCGAAGATGTGGTGCTGAAAATGCGGCTGTTGAGTACAGTCATCGCTAGCACTGCGGGTGAGCATGCCAGGAAGATACGTCTCGCGATAGCGTATTCACTGATCGCTTGCACTTGCTCACCACCGCAGGCGCTCATGGTGGACAGCTCGTATCGCGAATCCATTCCTACACCTTCAACGGTGATCCATTCATTCGCAGCTATACCGCCCGACTGCTTGAAGAGGTGAGCGTTTGCCCTGCTTTTGGTCAGTCTATGGTGCTCTGAGTCCTTAGCCAAGCACGCTCCTCTCAGGTCTCTCGACCATTCTTCTACTCCTTGTCGCGCTGGATCTACGAAGGAGAGCTGCATGACCCATTCGGAGAATTCTTTGTTGAGCTCAACGAGAGTTCGACACTGCAAGGTGCCGAGGCGCTCGATGTGGACGCCTTTTCGCTGTGGCAAAGCAAATTCAGGATTCGAACAGAGATGCTGCCGAGCTTTTTGAAGGAAAGCTTTGCACAAATGGTGAGCAAGTGCCAAAGAGGTGGACACGGAGGCCCGCGCTTACGCAGTGATCGCCGCAGATCTTTTCCACTGGCAGGAGTCTCAATTTCATTCGGTATAGCTGTGGGGACATAGACTGGGCATCGACGAAAAACACAATCGGGAGCACAACCGCCGGTTCGTACCCGTTGGGATGATGTCGGTGAACTGCGTGCTGACTCGCCATTTCACGCAGTAGAGCTTCGATATACCGACTTGGCTGGCTTGGAGAGTACGATCAACAGCGCATACAGTACTGCCAGTCAGCACCTGCTCGACATTTTGCTGGAGAGGTTCAGGCTTCTAGACCACCTTCGTGCACTTAAAGATTACCTGATGTTGGGTCGAGGAGATTTTGTCGATCATTTGCTAGAGGCTGTGGGGTGAGTGTGATGTGCCCGATCACCTCGGGATCTTTGCACTGACAGCATCGATCACATGCCTCTAGGCCATATCTCGACAAGCCCGCCTCGTCGCTCTACCGACATAACCTCACCGCATCGCTCGAGACCGCGATTCGCAATTCCAATGCCCAATACGATGATCCCGACATCGTAGCTCGGCTGGACGCTCGCATTCTGGAATATTCATCGGGCGACACCGGTTGGGACACATTTCAGCTAGAGTACAAGTGTGAATCTCCCGTCAATGCGGTGCTCGATACCGAAGCGATGATCGGATATCAGACCGTATTCGCACACCTCTGGAAGCTGAGAAGGACAGAGAGTGCCGTGGGTAGTGCATGGGCAAAGCTGATGGCTGCGTCCAGAATGCTGCCGCGAGGAGCGAGGGCTTCCGGCGGGTTGCAACGTGAGTGGCGCTCCTTTCCGCGAGGCGATAAGAGTGCTATAGCGAGCTGACATCCATCTCGATCTCGCAGACCTGCTAGCAAAGCTACGCTCCGCTTTGCTGGGACTCTCCGAGATGATTCACTTTGTCCGTCAGGTGCAAGGATTCTGTCAGCTGGAAGTGATCGACTACTCGTGGCAAGACTTGATGGACTTTTTTGCCACGAGGAAGGGCGATTTGGATGAGCTGATATTGGAGCACCGAAGGTACTTGAATGCACTAAAGAGCAAAGCTCTCTTGCTGAGTCAGGGCAAGCGTGGTGGGGTGAGTCGCCGACGCTGTTCGATTCTCATCCATTGTGGCGCGGCAGCTGACGTGGAGAAAGCCTGCCGTCCCAAGGATGCTCTGGCGAAGGAAATCAAAGCGCAGTTGGACACGATACTCGGGGGCGCAGCTGCGTGCAATGACTTGGCAACTTGGGCGACAGACGAACTAGCTCGAGCAGAGCTGTCCCGTGTGAGTTGCGATGTCTTGAAATGCAGCGGCAAAATGCGGCTAACGCGGATCTCTCAT